ATGGAGGTCCCCTTTTTTTCTTAAATGTATATGAAACCAATGCCTTCCTGGTGTATCTTCTTGGGATAATTTTAATTGCTTAAAGAATACAAAACGAGATTTGCCATTAGCAGAGGGCACAGGGCTTTTGTTTACAGGAAAAAGGGGGTTAGTCTAAACTGCATTAGATTATATAAGATTAATTACTGAATGAGAACAGTCTTACAAAATTAAAGGCTTTCTCTCATTTAATTATTTTCATTTGACAATTTTTATTCAACTATTTCTGCTTCACAATTAAGACCGCAAACCAGGACTTCTTTTATCATATTTGGAGGTGGTTTCTCTGATTTCAGGTTTATGGTACTTATGAATTGCGGCCCATCATTATATAATGATTTAATGATGGTTGAAAATAAAGTAGGGTTTGGCATCCGGGTGGTTAACCGAAGGCTAACTAGAAACCGACCCCGAAAAAATGAATTTAGGTTGGTACTAATGGTATTTGGGTTTTTAAGCTTGGATTTGATATTACCTAAATAAAGTTTGGATTGGTTTCGGTTGGGTCTCCCACTAATCGAAAATTGAAAAGGACCTCTTGAAAACCGAATTGAAGGACCAATTTTTTGTGCCAAAAAATTATTAAAAAAAAAAGAAAAAAAAATGAGGGGGAAATAGCAGAAAACCCTAGAAGTTCATTGCCACCTCTGCACACTACAAAAAAAACCACATTCAATAACTAATTTATTATTCATTATACCTTTATTTTTTGTCACAAGTTAAAATTAGTGATAAAATTTAAATTATTAATAAAATTCTTATTTTTTGTGATAAATTTGTCACCTATCATAGAGACGAATTTTGTAGTAATAGAAAAAATGAACATTACTAATGAGTTATTTGTAATAATTTTATTTGTTACAAAAAAACACTTTTATCACAACATTTTTCATCACAAAGATCACAACCGAGTGACAAAAATAAATGTCACAAATATTTAATAGTATTTGTTACGAAATATTTAGTCATTAATTATTTAAATTGGTATTAAAGTGAAAAGCATATTTTTGTAATTACAACATCTTTGACAAAAAATCTCGTGATAGTAAAATTATTTAGTCACAACATTTATAATTTCACAAGAGTTTTAAGATTTAAAATCTAAAGTCTATAGAAAAAAATGGAAAGAATTTTATTAATAAACATTTTTATAAATTCTTAATGATAAAAAATATTGCTAAACAAAAATAAACAAATGTTAAACTTTAAATATATTATTAGATTAATATGTAGTACAAAATAGACATAAAAATAACAAACAAAT